GGGGGGGGGGGGGGTTGTAACTGGACCCGATGGGCCGCCGGCGCGTCAGCGGCTGAGGGCTGCTGACTCTGCACTTGAGGTGCGCCCCCTGTGAGCGCGCGCCTTGCCAGGGCACCTGTGGCCAGCCAATCTCTGTCTCGCGCTTGCAGCACGGGCGTGATGCGGTCGCGTATGCACTCTCGCGCGATTGCCGAGGGCCGCACCCCTTGACTACCCAGATCTGCCGGCGGGCCGAGCGCAGCGTGGCGCCGCTGGTGCGGCAGGGGGCCGTGGACGCCGATGTGGGCGTTTTTCTGAATCGACTGAGCGACTACTTATTCCAGGCAGCCAGATGGGCGGTGAGTTTGAGGGCTGCCCCCCGCTCGGGGCCCATGCACGAGCATTGGCGTGAGCCCGGGCCTAGCGCAGCTGGCGGCAGCCGCCGTACTGGCGCGTAAGCGAGGCCCCACGCGCCGGCTCCGCAGGGGCAGGAGGGTGACGGCAGCGAGGCGGACGGCCGACGCGCTCGTCGCTGAGGGATTGTTGAGTTGCAGACCGATTTCCTGCTCTTCTTTTTTTAGACACAATGCACGCCGCACTTCTTTCGTCCTGCCATCCGGCTGCCGCCGCCCCTCCCGCAGGCAAAGGCTAGCCATGTGCCTGAGACGGTTTACAAGAAAGCGGCGGCAACCGACGCGGCGGGCGCGTAACCGCGGGCGCAGGACGGGGCTGCTGCCCGCGTGCGGCGCTGTGTGCGTCAAGGCAAAGCGCGCGCGATGCGCCAATTTCCTTGTGATATTGTTTGCCCTCCATGGATTGCGAGGGCCCAGGCATGCTGAAATCGGGCCTGGATCCCAGCTTGCTGTTTTCTAGAGACTAGGGAGACATCCAGCCCCTGAGCACTGGCTAAGCACTTCAACACAAGCAACATTGGTACCTTCTCGCTCGCTGTCCCCCTGCATGACCTATTCAAACACCTTATACACAAGGCGTGTATCATGTAACATCTGAGTATAAGGAGAGGGCCCCGCAAATGTACCATCCGGTATGGTTCGTGGCCAAGGTGTCAGTTGTGCAAGGGGGCACCCGGCACACCCGCTGGGGGTGTCTGCAGGCAGCACATCACCTTTCAACCACACGTCAAGGTACCGCGTTACAAATTTGGAAGTCATCTAAGCCATATTTTGCGTCCGAATAACTCCGCGCGGCCTGGCTTGCATAGTCGTGGCACAGATCGACTGCACCAGGCACGCGCTTGGGACCTTGTGTCTGGAAAGCAGCGCTTCATATTAATAAATCCGCTGTGGCGTGCGAGCTGCAGGCAGTTGTCGAAGCTGCCAGCGGCCTGCATCGTCTACGCACGGGAGCAGCTTCGGAATACGCGGGCTAGACACTATGGAGCTGGTGAGCAGAGAAACAAGCTACAAGCGCGCGTGCTGCGCGTGGCGCATGCGCTTTGTGGCGCCACCGCGTGAGCCTTGGCATGCTCGCATGACGTACGCCCCCCATCATCCGCAGGAGCCGGCAGACGCGCCGCCCAGGGGCCCTGACCCCTTCAACGCGGCCGAAGAAGTGGTGGACAGAGTGCTGCGCCACGTCCAGCGGCTGCAGGTGCGCAAAGCGCGCCGGGCCAGCGCAGCGACGCGTGCGACTCTCTGGCTGATCAGGAAAGGCGCCGTCAGGCTGCGCCCATCGCACACGAAGGCTCCTCCCCCCCTGTCCCTTCCTCCTCCCAGTCCTCCGCCCAGGCGGGGGACGCCGACGCCGCGCGCCGCCTGCCGGCGGCGCTCGCGTCCCTGGAAGACCAACTCTCGGCCCTCGACGCCGCAGTGGCCCAGATGGCCCGCGCCCCCGAGCGCTTCGGCCTGCCGCCCTCCACCGTGCGCCGGCGGCGGGAGCTCGTCGAAGCGCTGCGACTGGAGGCGGCGGCGGTCGCGCGCGCGGCGTCCGGCGGCGCCGCCGCGACCAGCGTGGCTGGCGACGGCGGCGGCGCGGCCGGCCGCGCTGGCGGGGGCAGGGAAGCGAGTGGGTCTGAGGAGTTTCAGGACGTTGACCTGGGTGCTGCCGGCAGTGGGCGGCTGAACGGTGAGCCGCAGCGACTGCGGCCGCAGCGGTGCAGGGGGGCCGTGGGTGCTCTTTTGGCGCTGGAAAAGCTGTGAGCAGCGGTGCCAGCAGGACGGCCCTGGCGCGTCATGGCAGGTGCAGGGGGCTGCGCGACGCTCACGCGGGCGGCGGCCCGGCTGTCGACAGCCCGACAATACAGTCCAAGAAGACGTGATCGCCGGCCGACCTTGTGGCCAAGAACGCCCCGCCGCGCGCCCTCCGCCGCCCCTTGCAGGCGGCACAGACACGGCAAAGGCCTCCCGGTGGTACTCAGACCACATCAGCGCAGCCAAGCAGCCGCAGCGGCAACCCCCGCCGTCGCCGCCCTACTCTTTCAATACGCGCACCGCCGTCCCCTCGAACCCTGCGGCCGCCGCGCGGCGCGGCGGCGACCAGGGCTCCGGCGGCGGCGGCCGCGGCGGCGGCGCTTACGGCAGTGGCAGCAGCGGCTACGGCGGCGGCGGGAGCGGGCGCGCATACGGCGGCGGGGGCGGGGCGGGCGACGAGGAGGGGTACTTGCATCAGGAGATGCAGCGGCACATGATGCGGGAGCAGGATGAGATGCTTGGGGACATCGAGATGCAGGTCGGCCGGTGAGTGCCCCCGCGGCGTTGCCTGGCGCGTCACCCGGCTCGTCACCGGGTGTGTCGCTGCCGGCGTGTTGCCTGAGGGTCGGGGCTGGGGTGCCTGGAGGCATCGCGATTTGAGGGGCCCTGCTTGTGCTTTCAGAGAATCCTCAGCCGCTGTACTGATGAAGTCAGCGGATTTGGCATGCACTTCCCGCTCATCTCACCCCCAGGGTGGCGCTCGCGCCCGACCTCTGGCGAGCTTGTACTCACACCCACTCACGTGTCGAGAAGCCTGCAGTTGCCTGGCTTTCGCCTCCAGCCGCGGCCACCCCAAACCCCCAACTCCTCACCCAGAAACGACCTCACCCCCACCCCGCCCAACCCTCACGC